ATATGGTTATTGTCATTTCATGCCACTTTCTATGACTTTCATGACATGACATTTCATTATCTGTGTTCTGAAGTCTTTTTCTCGTAAAATTGTACTTTACACAACACAAAGACGACAATATAGCATATCACGATGATGCACCATATGCACTGGGATACTCCACTCAAGCCACCTACGTCACGATAGCGCGATATTACGCAAAAACTCGATCTAAGTAAAAGTGTTAGCCGTTGGGCACCTCATGTCTATCGAGGGCCTCCAGTCTGCAGCATACGGCTGTCTCGCCCATTATGCAGGATTCGGCAACACACCGTCGGCTATTTTTAACGTCTGGACCTTCCTTGAACCCGCCATCTCCTGCATTATACATCATGGTAGAGGTAGGCACTAGACAGATCCGCATCGAAACCGGTTGTGTATTTGCATGTGTGCACCGATGGCTAGGAGAAGCACCAGCCTTGATGGAGAGGTGGTCGCGACATTATGCTAATTTTGTGCTGTCGCTAGCCGTCTGAAGTTGTGGGAAGTTACGTTGTCGTCTGAAGGCTTTCCTTTGCCGGCAGGTGGGCCAGCGCGTTCTGTTACTACGGCATTGTCCTGATGACCACGGAGCTGTTTGAACTATCCGAGGAGGATCTGTGCAGCGCGCCGCAGGGATGGGAGGGAGCCGAGGTAGGTACCTTACGTAATTACTTCCTGTTTGGCACTTGCATTAGACACACGTGCCAATCTGGTGCTTTGTAATAGCTAAAGTGCCTTTAGGTAACACTTCCATAAATTGTGTAAAGTAGCCGGGTAAACTCACACAAGCTCTCACATTGTGCATGACATTCGTCAGCGCTCCCCATCTGGCGTCTGTCTTGTCAGTGCACACTGCTGTCAGTATCGGTTCTCACTGTTCGTCTCACTCACTGCAGGTATGTCAGGCGTCGTGCAAACCGCTCACCGTTCGTTTATGCTCACCATTTGCCATTGTTTGACGTTCTGTCCGTGCTTACCATTCGTCTCGCTCACTGCAGGTGTGTCAGGCGTCGTGTAAGCCGCCCACCGTTCGTTTATGCTCACCATTTGTCATTTCTCACCGTTTGACGTCTGTCCGTGCTTACCATTCGTCTCGCTCACTGCAGGTATGTCAGGCGTCGTGTAAGCCGCTACAGCAGGAGGACTACATTGACCTGCTCTGGACCACACTGGCGGAGTTCCCAGGTACGGGCGCATGCAGCTGCCGAGTCCTGCCGTCTTTTATGTGCTCAAGGCCGTGTGCTGTCAGCTCTATGGGTGCCATTATGGGATCTACTGCTAAAACAGTTGGATAGTTCTTTGTAAAACAAAGAAAAAGCATGACAAGTGTGAATGTTCTGCCTTCAGCTAATAAAGTTGAAGATGGGTGTACCATTTACCTTGTTGTCACGTCTCCAGGTATTTTCTTTACACTACTGATAATCGAGAAGTTCGGGCGAAAGAAAACGATGGCGACCGAGTTTTTCATCTACACTCTGGCCATCCTAACGCTGTTCTTCTGCGTGAAGAGGTGAGAGCTGAGTGAAATTGTTCACTTCAGCGTGCCATTCATCTAGTCTGAAAAATGTTCTCTTGTGGTACGACATGGACATGTGATACAAGTCACGCATGTTTTCACATCGTTAACGACCAAGCAATTGATTGATTGATTTATTCATTTGATTGATTACAATTTGCCATCTACCATCTGTCCTTGACTCCTTTCACTAGATGACGTTTTTTGACATCAATGTCATGATTTCAATTACCGCACCGTTCGCTCTAAACACACCTTGTCTACTCTCGGGATGACCCATTCCCTCTCCCTTCACAGCCGAGCCGTGCTTACCGTAACTCTGTTCGTGTGTCGCGGGATGATCGCCGGCATGTTCCAAGCGGCCTACGTCTACACTCCAGAGGTATGGCGCCAGCTCACTGGCACCTCAGATTTCTGGGCGTAGTTTGGTGTCTGCGATAAGTCGCTAAGCTCGTTATTGTGATCAGAAATCGAAACAAGTCTCATTGTCATCACGTATTGTTATATATTTGATAACTTTGAGTTTTTTTTGTGAATCATATCAGTATTATGTGATCTTGATCGAACAAGCGTGAACCGAACACCTAGTTTTACGTTGAAGTCCAGATTCAATTGCAGACTTGTTAGTTTATCTGCAACTCGGTAGTGAGAGGCCCCCAGTCAGTACTTTGTGTCCTTTCCGCCGTTTGTGTGACTAGCTATGTAGCTGAGGTGTTCCTCCCGCCTCGCCACCAGGTGTACCCGACCACGCTGCGGTCGATCGGCGTCGGCTCCTGCAGCGGCTTTGCCCGACTCGGCGCCATGCTGACCCCGCTCATAGCTCAGGTAAGAGTCTGTGTCCTCAGAGTGTCCCGTGCTGAACTCTCTCTCAGACTCAGTCGTTGTTCCGTGACCAGTTTTCCATCTAAATAACCCTATTATCTTCTTCTAATGGTTTACGTCTAATTTATTCCTGGTTATTGCCCGATTAAGTTACCCGTTTACTACTAATCCGTGCCTAGTAATTTCACCTCTGCTAGGTCGCCCCGTAGTCTTGCTCCATTTCTCTCCCAATTCATCTCCACTGATCCTCTCACAGTTAATCATCTATGATCTAACTCACCCTCTTTGCTCCATATCCAATTTATCCTCTGACCCACCGGTCCGCTCCTTCCTATGCACAGCTTACCCTCTGACCCACCGCCCCACTCCTTTGCGCAGTTTACCCTCTAACCCACTGGCCCGCTCCTATGTGCAGTTTACCTTCTAATCCACCAGCCCGTTCCTATGTCCAGTTCACCCTCTAACCCGCCACCCCGCTCCTGTGCACACTTTACCCCCTAACCCAGTGACTGGCCCGCTCCTATGCGCAGTTTACCCGCACCTCGGTGCGTTACACTGCCGTCACATACAGCGCCACCTCCCTACTGGCCGGCCTGGCGGTTCTCTGTGTCAAACCGACCTCCAAGGTTATGCAGTAGGGTGATTCGGAGCGTGTCCGTCCTACTCCGTGCCTACTCCTGAGCCGACCTATCCTCTTCCCGACCACAGCTCCGAAACGGCAGGTAAATCTCCCTGAGTGGTGGACACTGGACAGGGCTTGGAATGAATGAAATGAACCTTTAAGCTGGATGGTATTTCAATGCCTACCATACGGATGGTCACTTTCATTGTAATGGTGAATGTTGAAGTCATATTCTCTTGATTATGATTTTTATGATATGACACTAAAATGTGAGACATGATGCCTGCATTTTTTTATTAGTTGTATTTTGTCCTGTGTATATGTACTTGACAACCGAAGGTGCACATCCCACCCAGCCGCCAGCCCCCACCACGGTGTGTGACCTCTCCTCTCGTCGTGGTCAGGTTCTCATCTACCGGTCTCCGTTCGCGTCCGTGATCGTGTACGCGTTCGTGGCCATGACCGCCGGCCTGGCGTGTCTGCTGCTGCCGATCGAGACGCGTGGCCGACCTCTGCAGAGCAGCCTCTCCGCCGCGGAGTTCCAGTGAGCGCGACTGTCTGGTCGCGGTCGCGGTCGTGGCCGACCTCTGCAGAGCAGCCTCTCCACCGCCGAGTTCCAGTGAGCGCGGCTGTCTGGTCGCAGCCGACCTCCGCAGAGGAGCCTGTCTACCGCGGAGTTCGAGTGAGCGTGGCTGTCTGACCGTGGCCGACCCCTGCAGAGGAGCCTATCCAGCTCTGACCTACAGTGAGCACGACTGTCCACCACCAGCGGACCCGGCCCGTATTACGCCATTACACCCTGTTCGGTTCGGAACTGGCAGCGAAAGACGGCTCGGCGGCGTCATGTCGGCCTGTGTGCTGTGAGGGAGTGGTAACATCGCCGAACGATAACCGAACGAACCGTGCTTCCTGAGTGGAGGTGGAGTTTTGGTCCGGGCGGGGAGTGATGTTTACAACGAATCTCGATGTCGAACAAACGCTACGTGAGCTTGTATATTTAATCAACAGCGAGAACGTCTTGCGGTGATTGTGCCTTGGAGCATGAGTGCTGTATCACTTATGAAGTGAAATTGGTGTGGGAGCGTCTTTACGTCATGTTGATTTTTAAATGTCTACGTGTTGTGTAAATTTCGATGAGACATCTTCAAATTAAGCCCACGGCCGCTGCATAACCCGCACTTTTCTCTGAGAGGATTTAACAACATTAAGCAGGGTGTACTTACCAAAAGCGATTCGATTGTCTTTTAAATGTAATATTATTGTGTGATGAATCCGGCATAGTTCCTCAGTACTTTTCATGCCCTGCTCCGCGGCAACTGAATGCATTCGTTATTGAGCGGGCGGCGACGGCGGAATCTGTACTGATGGACCCCATTACCGAGTCGTTAGCAAGTCTTGTTTTGATTCCGACCAAAGGTCCACGAGCGGTCTCCTGTTGCGAGTTTGCTCAGCTCTTTTTCGCAGTGAATGGCAGTTGAACTATCGCGCTTTCTTCACGTTGAACGCTGGGTTGGTGTGCGGTGTACGACTTGGCAGCTATTCTTGGTACGTGATATCACTCATCTTTCACGAGCAGTTAGATGGCACACTATTTTAAACAAAGTTGCTCAATTTTGTACTATATTTTGTCCCCTTTGCACCTTTTGCGCGGTTTCTTTCGTCTGATAACTGCGTTGTTCTAATTATTTATAGTTTATTTTGTTGTTTATTATTGTAAATGGTGCAGGCAATAAATTGATGACGTGAACTTGTCATATAACTCTGTTCCATAGCTGCGGATTATTAGATTAGAAGCTTGCTAATTGTTTTTCTTTTTGTGAAGGGCAATCATCGACGGCACCAGAGGGCCGTCGTGTACCACATCAATGATACAATGATACCCACTGAGACTCGATTTGACAGTACGCGAAGACTGTGCATGGAAGGACCACCCATCAACGTCTGCGGTCCCCCCCCCCCCTGGCGTCTTCGAGCACTGACTGGAGTTGCCAGTGTGGCCGATTTCAAATAAAAAGTTCGTTCATTTTATATCCATTTATTTACTAAAGTATCAATACAATGCCAATGATGCGCCCGGGGATCTCTGTGCTCCCGCTCTAGGTTACTGCTCCCGCTCAGGGGGGTGTGGACATCAAATAGGGGCTGCAGTTGCAGACTCCTCCTCACCACCAGACAGCACCGGCTGGAGCTGCCTGTGAGTGCGACGATAACTTATTTAGAAGTCTCCTGTAGCGCAGAGTCGAGCAGTTCACGGTGTTGCTCCATGGTCCGTCGCATCCGCTCGTCGGCCTGAGCGCACAGCCCGGCTACGGAGCGGACGAGCTGTTCATTGTCCTCCTCCATCCAACGGCGGAACTCCAGAGCCAGCGCGGCGTTCTCCGCCAACTTCTGCGACCTGGCGGGTGCGGGGCGCACAGGTCAGCAGGGCACCATATAGGGGCGGCCAGAACTCAATTAGATGAGATGTTGGAATAACAAATGAACGCCGAAGAGGAAGAACAAGATTCGATAATATCAGACGGAGATAATACGGATGGGGTGGCGTTGCAAAGTCAACACCCCGAGAAAAATCTGATCTGATCTGAGAACATAGGTCAATTGCAAGCCCCCGCAGAAAGAGCGAACAGCTGGGAGCGGGACATCACATGTGTCCGATACAGGTCCGATAACAAATAAGACTCAGGGAGTTGTAAATGTGAACGATAACCGGAGCACCGGACCCTGAGTTGGTTAGCTCACACATTGCCACAATATGGGTCCAGGAATTAGATGGGTAGGTAGCACACATTCACCCCAGAGTTATCTCGGAGCTCTGTATGTTCTCCACTATCCCAGCACAAACGCCGGGATCAAAATACCCTAGGGTACCGCTAACTGTCACTACCCGGCTCCATTCCATTCTACTATGGGTACTGCGCGGTGTATGTTCGACCCGTCGGCGCTACGTTCTCGCTGCCCGAGCACCCACCTCTGCGCCAGGCGCTTCTCGCGCTCTGCCGTCTCTTCTTTGAAGCGTTTCATGTCAGCCTCCAGCTGGGCGCGCCGTGCTCCCACGTCCAGCTGCTGCAGCTCGTGGTTGATGCGGCTCAGCTCTTCGTCCACCTGGCGCGGAAGGGTAACGTCAGACGGGTAAGCTGGTCCGCTGGGACAGCCGTGACATCACAGTTTGTGAAGGGACCACCGTGTGACCCTGGATTTTAAGGAAAGGAGGGGGGGGGGGGGTACAGCCGAGACACCCTACCTTGGCTGTTAGGAGTCACAGCTCTGGACCGTGAAGTAGAACACCGACCAACCAACAACTGTCTCTCAAAGTTACCCTCATCCACTGACATCATTTACCCCTCCGTCCAACCCACTCCTCTTTCCTCTGGCTCTGTTACTCTGAGACCTTTTCCCTTTCTCATCCAATCCCCGGCGAATCACCGACCTCCACGATGCGCGCGTCGAGCGCCGCATGCTGCTGCTGCAGCCGGCGTCTGTCTGCTGCATCCTCCTCTTCCAGCCGCTTCAGACGGCTGGAGGCGTGAAACTCCTCCTGCCGAGCCTGTTCCAGGCGGCTGCGAGCCTCGCGCGCGTGACGCTCCTGCCGAAATAGCGGGCGGGCGTCAGTTGGAGCGGTGGTATTTGGTTGGGTTTGATGGCGTGCCCAACCTCTGAGGGTTATATGACGTGCAGTGGTATTTCAAAACATCGATGATAAATGACAATATGATAAAAATGCACGTCACAGCCTTGTCAACAGGAATTAGAGCAAGTTTATTAGTGAGGTAAAAGTTGCACCAAAAATCCCCTCATCCAGTCCCAGACTCCTTCGGCAACCTTAGTAGTCTGCCTGCACCCCTAAAACCCCATCATTAGACACCAATCAGAGCTCAACTCAGTCTCCGGCGCCGTACTCCTCACCTGCTGCAGTAGAGTGCTGTTGAGTTTCTCCAGCTCCTGTCTGGCCGCCCGCTCCACACCCTCCATGATGTGTCCGAACTCAGTCAGCTGCTTCAGCTGGTCCGACTCGGAGCCGGTCAGTCGCAGCTGGAGGGCCTCGCCTCCGGGCAGCTGAGACTGCAGCGGCGCCAGCTGCGAGTTGAGCCGGCGCACGGCCGCCTGTCGCTGAGACTGAGAGCGCGCGAACTCCATCTGTATCTCGCCGCTCTCCGTGGCCATCTGCCGACGGCACGGCGAGGTCAGTGGGCTGAGCTCGTGGGGGGTGATACCGGCAGTTGTGGCAGCAACTGTGCGGGGACCTGCGATATCGGGACAAACTGTCTGTTGGATGTTCGCCAGACAGTTTGTCCGGCGAACTGTCTGGCGGACAAACAGAGGAAAGAGGAACACCGATACATGACGTAAAAAGCACTGAACAGATAGCCATAAGTCGTTTCCTGTCCATCCAGAGACCCACCTGTTCGATTTCTTCCTTGACATTGTCGATTTGTTTGCAGATCTCCGAACGCTGCTGCGCGATCTTGGCCACATCTTCAGCAGACATTTGCTGCTGGCTGATCTCCACTTTGAGCGCGTCTAGCTGTTCACGCTTCAGCTGTGGGGTAGGAGGGGGAAGATGTCAGCGGGGCTGCCCCGGGAAGGAGAGGGAGAAGGAGGGAGGTTGGGAGAGAGAGAGAGAGAGAGAGAGAGAGAGAGAGAGAGAGAGAGAGAGAGAGAGAGAGAGAGAGAGAGAGAGAGAGAGAGAGAGAGAGAGAGAGAAAATCAGAGGGAGAGATATGGTGGAATCGCGGAAGATTACGTTAACGGGCCAAGGGACGACTAAATATAAGGAAAGAAATGGAGGGGCTGTGAGGAGAGATGACTGAGAACAATAACAAAAACGACCACAGGGGAACACAAGTCATTGTAAGAACAAAATGCAGCTTGCCCTGATTAAGAGGCACGCAGTCCATACTACAGGGTGTTCCGAAAAAAGTGTCACAGTTTCAAACGTGTATTATAAACGCTTGACAAGTATTAACGCATTAAAACATACACCATATGAAAGCTCACGTTTGTCGTTTTTCAACAAGGTTACTCTCGTATCAGTGCTATAACTCCTTGCCAGAGGGCAGAGGAGTTCCTGCGATCACAAGTTTACGCGAACTTCTTGTAGTTCACGTTCTCGATATGGGCACCACCGCGGTTGAGACACGCCTTGATTCTGGCCTGGAAACTCTCAGCGACTTTCGTCAGAGTCTCGGGACCGACTTGATGCAGGTATCTTTCGACGTTCTGCTTAAGCTGGACCAGTGTCTTGGGCTTGCCTGCGTACACAGTGTCCTTGGCAGCCCCCCACAGCCAAAAGTCTAGCGGGTTGAGATCAGGGCTGTGGGGAGCCCACTCATGGGCGGTGCCGAGAGACATGAGGCGAGCGTTGAACAGCTCCTTAAGGCATTCGATACTCTCACGCGCAGTGTGAGGCGGAGCTCCGTCTTGCATGAACCATGCCTGTTGCAGTTGGTTATCGGTGAGCATATCGGTCAGATCCGCGTAGAATTCCCGGATGACCTCGCGGTAGCGCTCGCCATTGATGGTGACGGTCCGGCCATCTTCTTCGAACCAGTAGGGACCGAGGAGGCCGTGAGTGGCGTTGTAGGCCACGAAGGCAGTGACCTTCGGGCCCTTCAGCTGCTTCTCCGTTACTTCTTCCGGTGGTGAGTTACCCCAGAAAGTGTTGTTGTGGTTGTTCACCGCACCGTTCAGGTGGAAGTGAGCCTCGTCTGAGAACCAGACTCGGTTCACCCACCGCGCGTTCCTCTCCATCTTGTTGGAGATCTATTGACACATGACTTGCCGCTTTTGCCTGTCCCGATCCGTCATCTTATGTCTGGTGGATATTATGTACGATGACAGTTTTAGCTCGTCGCATAGGATGCGTCTTACGCTGGTTTTAGCAAGTCCGAGCTGTTGAGAGCGTCGACGGAGCGACTTCTTGGGACTGGCAATGACGGAATTTCGCACGGCCGCGATGGTCTCTGGGGACTTTGAAACCGATGCTGGCCTGCCGCTGCTGCCCCTGTGAGTATTCAGGACTGAACCTGTTGTCTCAAAATGGTTAACAAACCTTGCAATGAGTTTGTTGCAGGGCAGATCTCGAGTTTCCATGTCACACTCGCGTCGAAGTCGGCGGCGGACGGTGACGTACGATTTCGTCTCGAACCATAATCGGACGATTTTGATTTTTTGTTCTGGCGAGAAAACCATCGTAGATTTTGGTGAACCGTTTTGTCCACCAAAATCGACAAGGGTTGTGAGCAACATATCTTAAGCCAAACTATTTCGGACAATTTTTACGGAAATCGCACGTGACTAAAATCGTGACACTTTTTTCGGAACACCCGGTATATAGTCAAAGACAATTATTGTCGATGAGGCTTTGCTTGAGGTATCCTCAATACACGATGCAACGAAAAAATGCGTGACTGTTTCTCAAAAACGTTCGAGCCTGACTTAATGTAGTTCACACAGTCTGATCAGGCGTCTCGATCTAGTCATCTAGTTATACATTGTTTATCTGCATATCGAACTAAACTACTTAAGTTGCCTGTATAATACTCAATAAACCGCCGCGGGTGGAAACCGGAGAAGAGGAGAGAGAGAGAGGGAGAGAGGGAGAGAGAGAGAGAGAGAGAGAGAGAGAGAGTGAGAGAGAGAGTGAGAGAGAGAGAGAGTGAGAGAGAGAGAGCGAGAGAGAGAGAGCGAGAGAGAGAGCGAGAGCGAGAGAGAGCGAGAGAGAGAGGAGAGAGAGAGTGAGAGAGAGAGAGAGAGAGAGAGAGAGAGAGAGAGAGAGAGAGCGAGAGAGAGAGAGAGAGAGAGAGAGAGAGAGAGAGAGAGAGAGAGAGAGAGAGAGAGAGAGAGAGAGAGAGAGAGAGAGAGAGAGAGAGAGAGAGAGAGCGAGAGAGCGAGAGAGAGAGAGAGAGAGAGAGAGAGAGAGAGAGAGAGAGAGAGAGAGAGAGAGAGAGAGAGAGAGAGCGAGAGAGAGAGAGAGAGAGAGAGAGAGAGAGAGAGAGAGAGAGAGAGAGAGAGAGAGAGAGAGAGAGAGAGAGAGAGAGAGAGAGAGAGAGAGAGATTTGGTCCGCCGCGTCAGCCATACCCCTCGCCGGCCCATCGTCCACGCTGCGAGTCGTCGTGTCCCACCTCTGCGAGTCGGACGCGCTCCTGAGCGTCCTTCTGCAGCCACTCGAGCTGTTTGAGCCGCTCGGCCTGCTGCTCGCGCCGGCCGGCCACGTACTCGGACAGACGTCGGGCGTCCGTGTCGGCCGCCGCCTGGCGCTCCACCAGCTCGTCCAGCTGCTCCTGCAGCCGCGCCAGGTCGGGACGCTCCTGCCGCAGGCGCTGTGGGACCGCACGACGGTCAGCTGGTGATCCAGGGAGACGGTATACAAACACCAGGCAGAGGCTTAATGCAAACTTAACACCATGTTGCAGGTATTCGAATGACACTTATCATTTTGTTCAAGCTTACGGTAGCGAAACGTTCCAACTCTGCAATCGCCTACCTTGCTTTGTGCTTTAATGGCCGGGGCCAATAAACTTTTACTCTACACTGACTTCCCACTTCAGTGCGTTTAGACAAGTGAATAAACATCTACCCGGACGTACCCGTCTAACCATTTCCCGACCTCCAGACACCTACCCTGGTTCCCCTTACCATGACACTCACCAGTCCCCACACTTCACATCCAAGCGCACACACCTGGTTTTCAGTCTCGATCCTACGCAGCTCTGCCGGGTCCGTGGTACGCAGAGAGGTGAGAGCCTCGAACAGCTCCTGGGCATCCTCTTCCACGGGGCGCTCCTGGTTGGTGAGGAAGCGGTCGTACGCCTGCAGACTGTGTTTGAGGAGGACGTGCGCGCGCTGGTCCGTCTCCGGAAAACCTGTCAACAGTGAGAAAAAATATGTTGGTAGGCGCCTAGTTAACCATTATCTAGTGTTGAGTTGGTTGGTGCAGCTAATGGGTTGCATTTCCAGAGAAATATAGATGCTATATCAAGGACTTTCGAAAACAATGCAAAACAAAAATACGCACCGACATATTACAAACGAGGAAAGATTATGATTCTTTGGTTTTAGGGGACTACCTTCCGCGCACCATTAGGGTCATCAGCGCTCACTCAAATTACTCGAAAAAGATGACACTCTAGACAGCTTAAACTGCTAGTCGCAGCGGAATTGCTCCATTTCATCGCACCACCGACTGAGTACCAGCCGAGTCAGCGCGCCTACCGTCTTTATCGACTGTGGGAAGCAGCATCAGCAGTGGATCGGTGTCGTCGCCAGGCGGTCCGAAGGCGAGGTTCACCACGTCCGCCAACCAGTCGAGCACGGCCACCAGAGCCGGCCAGCTGTGCATGCATCCGATCGTGATCAGGTGCGACTTTGTGATCTGGCCCGGGTAGCCAAGCATCTTCATTTTTGCCAGCACCTGTAACAGGTCGGGGCGAACGGTTTAACTTGAAATAGGGAAGGTCATTGGTGAAGGTGCGCGATGATTGCGCCGTGGGATGAAGAACTGTGACGCTCGTAGCTGGTGGGGTTTAGTGTTACGTTGAGTTCGTTATAGGCGCGTTGACTACAGGGTCATTTACAACCCGAGCTGGGAAGCCCGTAAATATTCAGGTTTTCCGGCGCTCGTCTGCAATTACGCAGGTAATATTCGAGTTACAGACTGTAGCACTAAGCATACATTTAGTATGCACCTGATAAAGATATAAAGGTATCAAAAATATTTTAAAACGCACTTACCACTTCATCCCTTTTCTTCTGTGCAAGAGTGAAGCCAGGATGCAAAAATCCGTATATGAAGGCGAATATGTCATCAAATTCTCTGCCGGTGCACTTGACGAGGTCCTTGTAGGTGACGGGCGGCCGGTTCTCTGTGTAGCCGCGGTCGGCCAGGAACTGCACCACCCGGTGGGTGGCCGGCTGCCAGTAGGACCTGTCCGAGACGGGCCGCGGGTCGGCACGCCGCTGCTGACTGGCGCCGATCCCCGAGCCGCGGCTCAGCCGGCGCTGGGAGTCCACGCTCAGGCGGCTCGGCTGAGCCACCTTGCTCGCGGTGGCGGCCGACGCGGCCGGCGCGCGGTGCGCAGCCTGTGGCGTGAACGCGTTCAGTCGCGGCGCCGCCAACGTGAGACGAGAGCGCGCCGAAGGACCTGGCGGACACGGCAGCGGGTCAGCGGGCAGCTCATCGGGGTTTGAGCACACACCGCAAGCAAAACATGCGTCAAGAATGTGTAATGTTTATGACATATCATTGCCAACAACGCAGCTGCATGTCAAAGTGTGAAACGTGTTAGAATTATCATTTTAGTATTGGTCCCGGAGAATAAAATCTGACCCGAAAATAACCAGCTGACCAGCTGCAAGAGAAAGCTGCCCATCTTCACCAAAGACATCGTTGTAGCTAGTTTCCTTCTCATTCCACAGTGGCCAGTCGCTAGTGGTTTGGACTTCAGCTGCACCTCACCTGCCACTGAGCGCTGTGCACGCGGCCCGGTGCTGGCCGCGCCTCCGCGCGCGGCCGACGCCGTGGACGGCCGGGGCAGGTAGCTCTTGACCGAGCTGCCGGGCGCGGCGGCAGGAGCGCGGCTCGGCTTCACCGCCGACTTGACGGCCGAGTCAGAGACCCGGCGCGGCGCCATCGACGAGCGCCGCCGGCTTTCCGTCGACGCGCGCATTATGCTGGAGATGAAACACAAAGTCTTGTCATGCATAGTCTCTCTTGAAAGTATCGCGACTGAGGGGAGGGCGCCACCTGCCGCAGCCGCGGCTGAGCGGAAGAATTTTATTTAAGAGCCACTGGTAGCACTGATCAAAGCCTGACACGCGATGGCAGACAGCGCGACGGGACGAGGGGAGTGGTAGCGGAGGGATAGGGGAGGAGGGGGCAGTCGCCGTCCGGTAACTTGTGATGGCAGTAAGCGTGTGGTCAACGGAAGCCACCCTACTCGCAGAGGATTTGTTGAGATCTGTTTCATTACAAAGCTGAAAATTTGACCCGTCATCGGCACGACTACCACCGGTTTTGGGTATAATCCAGAAACCCATGCACGAATATGAAAAAAGCATCAGTTGTACTCGGTAACAGAATGCATCCGTGGTTGCAGGTGCACCCGCTAGCGGTTTCCAAAAAAAAAGATATATATCTGCTCTCTAGCGGCTAGCCACTTAGTTTATTTACAAGGTCAAACAGTGATTGGCAAATATGGCGGATTGAAACAGTCACACAAAAATGTAAGCACCACCATGGTTTAAAATGTCATTATTTTCATTATTTTGTATATGGTTTTCCAATTGTGGTTACATTATCATTTTAATATTAAATATCATTATTTATTGTAATGAAATAAAATCTTATAACAATTTTCTTTCAAAATACTGATCCATTTATGGAATGGCCAGCTGATTGTGATCCCCAGAACCTGCAGAAAAGCTGTTTATCTATCGCCATTTTCGAGTGAATTCATCGAATTCAAGCGAATCAAGTTATTCGTAGTGGAAAATGGAAGCCTTTTCTCCCCGATAAGTGGACAAGATACCCCAAGGGTACCGGCAGGTTATAATGTTTTCCACCCGTAGTAGCGAGGGCTGCATTTATGCCCATATGGTCATCAAGTCTATTTATTGACCAATCCATTTTTGGATCTTCGCCTCGTTGTTTCCCCAACTTATTGACAGCCAAAGCTGTTTTTTGCCAAAGCTGTTTATACCTCACCTGTTCAACTCACCTGTTGGGTTTCCTTGACTCACCAGTGCAGCATATTTACGTCTGGACAACGAGTTGCGGGGAAAAGTGCTGATTTGTTGCAGTTTTAGGAGCCGGTAATTAGGCTGGATTTTTGGGTTACTTTTTCGGTCTGATTCATGTATTTCATAGTGTTTGGCTTTTGAATATTTTAGTTCTTTCAGATAAATATTACTTGCCTTACAACTTTTGTAAAAACGTTTCGTTTTTTATAAGCCGACCTTCAGAGTCCTAAAAATACATCCAGCACTACAATCATTGTAAACAAACAAGTTGAAGTGGAGCACCACTTGGCTCTGTTCCAAGGCGATTTTTAAGTTCATCTGGTGGTTTCCGTACTCTTGTACGTCGTTTTGTTGGATGTTTTGAATCCCTTAAGATTGACTTATATCATATTCAAGAAGCATGTGACTGAAAACAATCCGAAGTATCCAGGAGGCTGACAGAGGTTCTGACTCCTGAGCAATATCAATATCAAGTTGAACTTGAAGTTATGAAATTTTGGTTGATAACGCAAGTTGATCGGGCTCATATATCAGCAAGAAAAAGTAAAATTAAAAGAGCTTATTGGCCGAAAACAAGCTATAATATTGCAGATCTTGGAGCAATACTGAAGAGCACGCTGAGCAGGATCATGCCGGAAAATGTTGACTGATGAGCGCATATTGATGTATTGGTATGAATATTGAATGATAACTTACAACAGCAAGATAAATTAGTGCTAACTATCAAGTTAAAAATCTAGAATGAACGGACCTTGACAGCTTTACTATGCTTAGATGCTATGCAGATTGTAATGTGCATCAGGTTCTCAGGGGCTGGCAAATGAAACATGCGATCATTCCATTGCTACTGGAGGAGAAATTGCTTGGATCACTAAATCCACCTGATGTTGATTTTGATGTTAATCATTACTGTATCAGTATTTCTTGAAAAAAGGATTGTTATAAAATTGTCAATGTGACAATCCATGCAACGATGTGATCATATAATGTGTTCATATAGTCATTCATGATAGTGATTCATGATTGTTGGTCCAATATACAATGGCAAAGCTCTCAGTCTCAGCATTTCTTCCTGTGGATGGCCAGCAGTGACTCAGAGCTTAGAAGTATTATTTTTCTTTACAGGGCTGGGATAAAAAGTACTGAGGGTAATCTTCCACCAAGGAACTCTACTTTGACATTGACATGGTATGAGATGTAGGCACAAGTAGGTAGGTGCTTACTTCATGCTGCAGTTGTGTAGGTTTAGTCGGGTTAGCTTAGATTAGGTTATATTTGGCATATACTTGGCAAATTAAAAAACTAACATATGTTAGTTTTTTAATTTGCCAAGTGTCCATAAAAATGTGACCTGAGCAATGAGCATACCTGAATAGCCTGACAGCTGACCTAACCTCAATCGTCACACATATTTGCAGCCTACCCGAGACCTGCATAGCAGTAGCACCCAGTTATAGGTAGGTACTCACCCTAACTCAATCTTACCTGCTAACCTTCAACTTGCCTATAGTTAGCTCACCTTGCCAAGCTGCATCCAGGGAAACAGTCAACTGAGGAACTGGCTCATTGGGTGGCTGGTTGGAGTCTGTGCATTTAAAGTGTTTCTTCTCTGAAGCTGCTCTGCACTGCTGTATGTCATGTTAGATGCTCAGAAAATGTGGGAAATGATTACTAAGCTACTTTAGTGCTTTGTTAATGCTCGAGACATGAACAAGTACAGATCCTGCAGGGTACAGCTATGAGTTAGGTGCTAGGTGAGTATGTTATGTGAATGTGCTGCTCCCTGTTTGACCATAGTAAGTATACAAACAAGCAAAGGGTCACAGTTATATTCAATCTCCTCATAAACATACAACAAAAACGGCCATATGGCCTCACTCCGAACACACCACAAAGAACTTAAGCCTTTGCAGGCACAAAAATGTTTTGATTTACAGGACAGGTATACAATATAACCTCTGTCTTTGGGGATCTTGCTGCCAAGTTGAGGTACGATGACTGAACTTCAGGAATGATCAACCTTTTCTTCTTAGCCACTGCTTATATCAATATACGAGAAAGACCAAATGCTTGTTTGTAAACTGCCTTGAAAAGTTAATGATCCACCTTCAATTCTGACATGAAGGCACAAATAAAATAGTTCCCTCTTCTTTTGGAATACACAAAGCAAAATATTTAACAACTTCTAGTGGATGGACAAGAGCAATTAGCATAGCTTCCCTCAAGTTAACTTCTGGCACTGATGAGTGATGATGAATAACACTGACGCTTATTCGCTTCATATTTTGTAACAAACGCGCAAAAACTGCAATATAACAGCACTATATGCTTCTTGACAAAATGCAAAAGGAGTAAAAATTTCGCCCTGATGGCATTCATTCTTGGTGGAAACGTAATTACAAAATATTTTGTAGTAACTATTAAATTCCGGCCGAAAACAGCGCACGGTTTAAAAAAGAATCATTCCAATGACGGTCCATTCTTGCGGTCCTGAAATCGCCACTATTTCCGGCCTCTCCAACGCAACTCGTTGTCCAGACGTAAATATGCACCAGTGCATGAGGAGAGGCAGGAAACCGTGTAGGAAAGAACTGTACCTAAACTGTATCAGCCCAGGCTCAAGCACATAAATTAGTTCAAATCAAAATGAATGAATGGATGATTGAATAAATGAATGCTTTCACGACGGACGACCCCATTTCGGTATACACTTACCCCGATTGGGATAAATTACACTGAAGGTTGCACTGAAGCACACTGAAGGAAGACTTGTAAGTGATCCATGCACTCAACTTGAACTATCTCAATCCACTCTCAATCTATTCTGTAATAATCTTTGTGTAAGAATCGGTAAAAATCGCGCGCGAATTGTTTGAATTCATTTGTAACATTTGCGCTACATATGTAGCCGTACAAGGCCTTGGTAAATACCACAAATATTGGACTACACTACTTGACTGCCACCCTTGTAGCCATCCCATTTATCAACAATTACTGAGCCGATTGGGACGAACCAAGCACCATTTGAAACAAAAAATACAGTTTTATTAGCCATTTTGAATGTCGTGACCTCAAACGAACTTTGGTAGGCTCCAAAAGTCAGCATGACGTTTTCGCTGATTGCAGCCATTCTATAATGATAACCCTCGCCGGCCGGCCGAAGGGGGCGGGTGCCGCACCCCCATCCCCCATAGGTTTTTTCGCAATAGCTCCGAACACGCCGGCGATAGAGAGATGATAGTTGGCACAACTGACCTTTGATCCAAGCCGCATCTTGTGACACCAACCGAATTTTCAGGTTAGGTCAGGTCACTGACCTATTATGACGTCATAAGTGAACCTCTGTAGGGGAAGGAGGGTGAATTGCGCCACCTTAAGGAAAAACGCTAATTGTAAGAAAACCACTGGAGATGTAAGCATGCACTGTTCACCATTTCAAAGAGAAACTCATTGGCTACGATTTAAGAGCCTCCCGATCAATTAAGAATGTTTCGTTTGCTTCTGACAGCTGCTTTTTCAAAAACATGCAAAAGGGCGCATTTACCAACAACTGATGTAAATTGCGCCAGGGGGAAGGCGCAATTAGAACCCAATTGCGCCCTATCCTTTAACATGGCTAAGCAAAGGAGACGGAATGCATACACTCCGGCAGTCTATGTCATTGTGGCTTACTTGAACATGTATTATGTGAATCAAGCTCGATACATAATAAATGTAGATATAAATTGCGATGTTTTTTTGCGCAGGTAAATAACTTTACTTGTGTCCGGTATGCTTGTGAAGTGGAGCGAAAACGTTTGATGTAACCGGCTAGATATATATGAACGTATGCGCCTAGACGGTTATATTTTCGATCGTTTCTCTCAAAATTAATATTTTTTATTGGTTCGACAACTTTTTGACATCAGTTCTAACTTTGTACCATAGCTGTCACGTCTCACGCCTGAGTCCATGTTAAAAATGCCATATTTCACCAATTACACCGCAAGTTCATAGCCTAAATGGCAGCTGCATTATAAGTTCGACGAGAGAAATAATTTTTGGACTGACGATGGCGGGTTGCTCCCCTGCCTGACATAATACTCCTTCTTTATCGCAATCAGTTAATGATGCATTCATACTGTCGTGATACAATAGCTACACCATTATTCTATTTGCGCCCCCCTGGCGCAATTGCCATGGGCGCAATTAAAATTGAGATATTTTTTAATAAAAGCATAGAAGTTACTATAAAGATACTGAAGGATGTTTACTGTTTCAGTAAAATATAATAAAAAAAGGATCTTTCTTTCCAAATATCACACTCAAAATCACACATGTATCGCCTTTTTTATAGCCAACGGTTCAAAATGCTGTAAAAAAGCTAAGAAAACGCCGTAATATCTTTGATGGCGTAATGAGCCTTGCTGATTGGCTTCATCAGAGAGCTTGGGCCATAAAAAGGAACTATCCAGTGGTGAAAATAATGTTTTCGAAAACAAAATACTAAACATGCCATTGAATTCGTGGGAATGTGGGCGGGCGCAATTAGTTAGGAGGGCGCAATACACCCACTTTCCCCTACAGTCTTCGATGTCGCAACTTCGCAGCGCCCACAGTGCCAGAGGAGCTTTCACAGGGAGATAAAACTTGCAGGATGTAGTACAGTATCCTCCAGACTGGTCTCACAACTTGTATATCTGGGATTTTTCCTAAAGGTGAGGTGAGGTCGGTCAAGTGACCTCACCATTATAAGTCAATGAGGAAAAATGAAAACAGCTAGGTATTTTCAAAACGCCGGAAACGATCTTAAACTATCTCAAGCACACGGAATCGTGATTTCTTGCACCAGTGGCGTACGCACATACAGGACATTCCGTGCATGCCCTGTCCCTTTGGCTCATCGTTCCCGGCGCCCTCAGTGACTGGCGCCCCTCTGTCCAGTGTTGGCGCTCCTCCAGTCGATAGCGGCGCGCTTCTAGTTGGTGGCGAAGCCCCTCTGTCCAGTATTGGCGCTCCTCTGGTGATAGTGGCGCCCTCCTAGACGATATGGTGGGCCGGTGGCGCCCCTTTGTCCAGTATTGGCGCCCCTCCAATCGATAGCGTCGCGCTCCTAGATGATGGTGGGTGGCGCCCCTCTGTCCACTCAGTATGTCAGTTATGTTCGTTCCGCACGTGTACGAACATAACTGACACATTCAAGTTTCAGATATGTGGCGCCCTTCTTGTTGTTGGCGCCCTCCTTGATTGGCGCCCTCTCGTCCAATGCCCTGGTCCTTCGCAAATTCCTGGGTACGCCACTGTCTTGCACTCCTTGCGAAATGCGAGGTCCAATGCTTTACTTTTGCATTGTTTACTGTGGTCACTTGGGTCATAAGAGTTTTTCGTCAATAACTCCCGATCAGATTGAGCTAGCGAGTCGCGAAAGCCACCAATGGACTCAGGAAGACCTGCCGAATCGAATGATATGCAACATGATCTCCTTTGACCAGCTTCGTGACCGTGGGGGCCGGGGGCGCTTACCTGACCGTCCTAGACCCGGGTTCCGAACATCTCAAGTTGACCTGACCCGAGCAAAAAGTATATCATTCGACGTGCCTCAGGAAAACGAACACAATGGTTCCCAAATCGCGGCTCTGCAAACGTTTTTTTTTTTTGGCGAAGTTATTTATGAAAAACTGAACCTGTAACTTGGGTCCCTTGACCTGACCTCAGATGTCACCGGTTGACCTGAGACCTAAAAATTGGGTACCTACCAGTCGCTGCGTCTCGCCGCACACGCTCGTTTTTCCGTGGCGCTCTAGCTCCATCAGGGACGAAACGACGAGAGGGGTCGTACCACCCTCCCCCCCCTCGGCCGGCGCATATGTAGAAAACCAATAGGTCCGGCGAGGGATGCCTCAAGACGTACTGGGCCGATCGAGACGAAAACGCCACCAGTCGGTTCGCCGTATGTCATTGGATCGACAGTCTCGAAAATGGTCATCAGGTGACCTCGGCAGACTGGTTATTGATTCACCTTTTTTGGATCAATTCATTCATTGATTCATTGCATTTTTTCGATTCAATCAT